AGAGATCCATCTGCCTCTGCCTCTTGAATGCTGGGATTAAAGGTGTGTACTACCACTGCTTGGCTTTTTTTTAAACCCTCTCTCTAACCCCTAACCCCTAACCCCAACCCCAACCCCTAACCCTAACCCCTAACCCTAACCCTTAACCCTAACCCTCACCCTCACCTCTAACCCTTAACCCTAACCTAACCCTAACCCTGACCAAGCATAACCTACAACTTCTGGTTTTCCTGTTTCCACCTTCCACATGATGGGATTATAGGTGTGCACTATTGGAGTTAGAATCAGGGCCTTGTGCATGCCAGACAAATGTGCTGTCAACTGAGTTACAGCCCCAGCCCTCTGTAAAACCACTTGTAAACAGAAAAGCAAAGAAATAAGTGTTTTTACTATGGTGGTAAACCACACATAACATACAACTTGCAATTTTAGCCTTTCTTTAAAATTTTTTTTATTAGTGGAGAGAGAGAGAGAGAGAGAGAGAGAGAGAGAGAGAGAGAGAGAGAGAGGTGTAGGTCAGTAGACAGCCTGTGGAACTCAGTTCTGCTTCCATGATGTATATCCTGGAGATTGAGCTTGGGTTGTCAGGCTTGACAGTAAGTGACTTTAGCTGCTGAGCCATTTTTCTGGCCCCATTTTAACCCTTCCTGAGTGAACACTTGGGTATTGTCAAACACTGTCCATCTCATGCTAAAAAACACCACTTCCCATTCCCTGCCATCCCCTCCCATCCTCTCCTAGCCCCCCCCAGCACCCACTGCTCCTTACAATACCAGGAATTTTCCTGTAAGTAGAACCATATGGAATTAGTCTCCTATGATTGGTTTATTTCACTCAACACATTGAAATGTATTAGCATTTCTTTTCCTTTTAGGGTTAATATTCTATTGAATATGATTAAATGTTATCTGAAACATGAAGGTTTTGTGGGTTTTTTTTTTTCAGTGCTAGAGATCAAACAGGCAAGTGCTGTCACTGAACCATACTTTTAGCCTTAAGTACAAGTTTTAAAAAACAACATTCAAAAGAATAAAACACCTAGAATAATTTTAGACAAGGAGGTCAAACACATGGCTACTGAGGACTGCAGAGCATGGTGAAGGAAAAAAAAAGAGAGAAAGTCTACCAAGATAGAAAGACAATCACAGCCCATGTTCATGGATTGGTAGGATGTCAGTGGTCTCCAGAGTTACCATAGGTTCAGGGCAATCCCTACAAGTCCTCTCTGCCCTTTTTATGGCTGAAATGGAAAAGCTATTCTGTAAAATCTTTTTGTTTTGTTTTGTTTTTCCAGACAGGGTTTCTCTGTGTGACAGCTCTGGCTGTCCTGGAATTCACTTTGTAGACCAGGCTAGCCTTGAACTCATGGAAATCTGCCTGCCTCTGCCTCCCAAGTGCACGCTACCATCTGGCTGCTATTTTGTACATTCTTATGGTGCCTCCATTGGCCTACAGAAGAAAAACAACTTCAAAAAAGAAATAACAGAGAAAAAAAGTATTTATACAGTCTGTTTCAAAACTTACCACAAATGAAAATGGTGGCCCTGGCCACTTAGGAAGACATGGAGGCCAGTGAAATGGAATTAAGAGATCAAAAACCCTCCCATCTGTGGCCAGATGATCCCAGACCAGGATACCAAGAGCATTCAAGGAAGAAGGAATGCTCTCTTCAGTGAATGCTGCCAGAATGTGGCTGCCACATCATACACTGTTACCGCTAGTTTTGTATGTCAGCGTAGCCTCTGTACCCAGATACTTAGCCACACCCCAGTCTGGATGTTGCGAATGCATCTTAAAAACAAATTAACACCTCAATGAATAGAGTTTTAAGTTTGGCAGATTGCCCTCTATAGTGCAGTGGGCCTCATATAATCAGTTGAAATCTAAGGAGAAGACAGGCTAAGACCCCTTGAGTAAGAAGGAATTCTGTCTGTGACTATAGTGACCACCATTCCCCATGTCTCCAGCCTGCTTGCCACCTGCTTGGTGCAGTTTGAATTTACTCTCCAATCTTGTAAGCCAGTTCTCTCTTTCTCTCTCTCTCTCTCTCACACACACACACACACACACACACACACACACACACACACACGAACACACACATACACAGTCTCCCTATCTCCCACTTTCTCAATGTTGGCCTCATTTGCCCAGGATACAGCCCCCATCACAAACCAACCTGCTTCTGCTCAGTGTGAGCTCACTACTCAGCAGAACCACCGACCCCAGAGGCAGCACAGTACCTTTTTTTTCTTGTGACTTTTGATTCTTGTTTTGAACACAGAATCCAACCTTCTAAGAGGAAAATAGTACCTTCTGTTCGTTTGTCACTTTTTCTTACCAAACTGGGTATGTTAAAGGAGACTGTTACAAACTGACAGGAATTCTGTGTGGGATGGTGGGAACAGGAGCTCTGCTGGCAAGGAGACCATGTCACAGCTGTAGAAATAAGCAGAAAGCCCAAATATCTCTAATCAGTGCTCAGATGAGGGAGTAAAGGCACAGGAGTTCTGTGGGTTCCTGAGACATGCCAACCCTGAGCATGTGGGCCCCAGAGACACTGGAGGAGATAAAGAAGGGAATGGGCATAGTGTTCTGGAGGAGATGAGATGATAGGGATCAGGGCTGCCGAGATGGCACCTGAGTGGAGCTGGCCTTCCACAGGTGTTGAGCTGGGTGCTGGGAGGTGACAGTGAAGAAAGCCCCAGCCTTGGGTGGGGGCATCGTGGGAAGGGCCAGTCTTGCTTGGGGGTAGACAAGAGGCTGTTTCCTGCCCTGAAGAGTGACAGGAGACCCACATAGAAACTGGTTTCTCTAGCTCATGCTTGGCTTTTGAAGTGACAGTTTCAGGCCTGACCTCTGTGAGCCTTTACAGATCTAGTTTTCACTTTCAATGAGGTAGGTATTAATAATAAAACTTCATCTCATTTCTTGGCAGCATTGAGGTAAGCAAATATACTCCATGGTTGTTAGATCCCTGATGTGAACCAAACTAATAAACTTGATGGTAAAGTCTGGATAGTAATTGCCATTACATTTTCCTTCATTTATTGAAATGAATTTATAGGAGGTGAAGGGGGAAGTTATTACTAAGCTTTGTTATGTGACATTGCTCCACAGAGCCTAACCACACTGGCTTGTGTGTCTTGAATGCAGTGGCCTTGTAGTCTATGCAGATGGACCTCTGAACTTGGACAGAAAAGTGGAAGACATGTCTGAGCTGTTCCGGCCTTTCCACACGTTGCTTCGGAAAATAAGGTGAGGACTGGAAGATGGTTATTGAAGTCAGGTGCTCAGCCCCCTCTGAGTCATGAGAGCTGTATAATACCTGTGTCCACTGCTCTGACTGGGCCTCAGAGTGGTTGGTATCTCTTGTGTGCTAGGCTTTAAGGGATCATAAACTCCACCCTGCCCAATCTTGGGTGTACATAGAGCTCAGTATTTTCTATCGGTTCACAAAAGCTCCTGTGGGTGTGTTGGCTCCCTTCTGCTATACCATATCTTTTCTCTTGTTGGACTGAGCATTCTGCCCAATGGCTCGGTGGGATGGGTTGTTTGTTTCCTAGGGATGGCCTCATGATGGGCTGGAAACAATGTGGATGCCATGACCACCCATCTTCTGAGTGCCTTCCTGCTGTTTCCTTCTTTGATAGCTGTTGAGGGGTCTTTGTGGTACCACCCATGGGTCTGGTAGAATATTCAGAGCCTCCTTAGAACTTGCTGAGCACAGGGTGGCCTCAGGCACAGTCAGTGAGGCCAGAGTTTCTTTGAGGGTACATAGAACATAGAGATAGGCCAGAAGAGACACCTTCAAGAAGAGACCTCTGTGAGCTTTTCCTGTGGGCAGCCTTGAAGTCTTGGGACCTCAGGGAATCAGCAGACTGGAAGCAGTCTCTGTCTATTTTATGGCTCACATTATCATGTAGATGGCTCTTGGCTGTTTTCCTTTCTCTCTGATTGGAATACAAACCCTTGACTTCAGGCTGAATACCTGCGCTTCTTGGTTCCAAGACAAAGGTGACAAGTAAATGAGGAGAGATCACAGACAATTCTGAGACCAGGAAGGAAAGCAAAGCCAGGCCTTTCCAGAGGGGTTCCTTGTAGGAAGAATGTTGTAGGTACTGGAGTAATAAGAGGAAGAGTAATAAGAGGAAGCTCTCTCAGGAGAGAGCTAGGCCTGGAGATACTTGGCCCTTCTTTCCCAGGGAGCATTTGACAATTCCAAGCAAATGTTTCTTTGCCCAAGTTTCAGGCTGGAGGCCAGAACCCAGGTGCAGTGTGCTGGGGGAACACATTGGCACTGGGGGCAACCAGGCAGCATAGCTGCTGGGTTCTGGTATAGGAGGAGTCGGCACAAAGCCGCTCAGGAACACAGGGAGGTTTCCTGCAATCCTGTGCTCTCAGGAGATAGATGTATGCCACAAGCTCGCTGCCAGTCTACCCTGGAGACTTTTACCAAAGATTAAAGGTTCATGGAATGGAAGGTTGGAGGCTGAGCTGGGACTCAGAAGGGCAGAGCTCAGTCTCTAAAGACTTTGGAGTATGGGAAGATGGAGGCCTCAGTGTAGCAATAAATCTGTTGGATGTCTGAGTCAGTATGGTAATGGACCCTAATTCCATATTCCTAGTCAAAGACTGGGAGCACAAGATAGCATTACTTGTCACTGTTAGGATGTTTTAAGTCTGATGTCCATCATGCAGTTCAAACCTGTTGAAAAATGTGGAGGCAGGAAAATGTGATCAATGGTCAAGAGAAGAGCATGCAACTCATAAGCAAGACTAAACATACAAGGATATGAATTATTGTACTGAAGGACATACAATAAAGAGGGGATTGGAGATGAGGAAGGAAAACTCACAGATTTAGTGTCTATTAAAGTGATATTCAAGAGCTAAAATGTTCACTGTCTGGAGATAAAAGCAATGGGTGGGTCTGAAAGCAGATTGGACCCTGCAGAACGTAGAGGTGATGGACCTGAGGGTGTATCAACAGAGGACGTGCAAACAGAAGCACAGAGACAAGAAGGGTGAGGAAACAAGCAGACAGAACCATCAGTACCAGAGACAGGTGCAAACACTCACGTGTCTAACACGTCATCAGAATCCCAGAATAGGAAAAGAGAGAATGAATAGAAGTAATATTCAAAAAAGTGGCCTAGAATTTACCAAAACTGATAAGAACTCTACCCATATATTCAGGAGACTCAAACCATAAGCAAGATGAGTGTAAAACATTCCTGTGCATGTCATAGTAAAATTGCTAACAACAAAGAAAAATCTTAAAAACAGTGAGGGCGGAAAAAACATATTACTTTAAAAGTAGCATAAGATAGACCCCCCCCCCAATACACACCAAAACAAGCAAACAAAAAAACTGGGCATGGTGACACACACACCTATAACTCCATTGTTTGGGTTCAAGTCCAGCCAATGCAAAAATAAAGAAGAAAGGAAATGAAAGCAAGAAAGAAAAAATAATGGACAGGAGACATCATTACAGACTTTACAGATACTGTGAGCAATTCTATATCAATGAATTTGACAGTTTGAATTAAAGAAACAAATTTCACAAAGTAATCACAGCTGACAGAAGAAATAAAACTTTTAAATGCAGCATATATTAGGAGAACTTGATTCATTATTTTTAAGCTTCCCACAAATAAAATATAGACAAAATAGATCATATGGACCAATATACAGTTCCCCAACTTATGGCCATGAAGCATTGCAGAACAGAGGGACATTTTTTTCTCTAGTAAGTGGACTGAGCTAGTAGGTATCTGTGTGAGAAAAACGTCTCATTTATGAGTATCTATTGCTACTGCAATCACATACAAAATCAATTCCAGATGCAGTCGAAGTATAAATGTGAAAAGAGAAAGCTTTCAGGAGGAAAGTAGTCAAGATCATCATTGTAACGGTGGAGCAGGCAGCTGTTGGTGATACAGTGCAGGTTTGAGTACTTACCTAGCATGTATGAGGCCCTGGGTTCAATTCTCAGCACCACTAAAAATATGGTACATTAGACTCTATTACATTAAAAAATGTCTTACCAATAGACATCTGCAAGAGAATGAGATGTGGGCTGCAGAATTGGAGAAGAATATAACTCCAAAACACATAAAGAAAATCAATCAAAAAGAAAAATGGGTGTATGTTTTGAGTAGGTGTCACACATAGAATACGTAAGGAATAAGTGTGCAAACTGGAGCTCAGCTTAATTCCATCAGGCTAAATAAGGTTCCGTTACACACACACCAGAGAGGCCACAGACCCACTGTATTCAAGCTGCTTACCACCTGTGTTGTTGGTCTTCACTGTCAGCTTGACAGAATTTAGAATCATCTAGGAGACACGTTGCTGGGTTTGTCTTTAACAGGGTTTCCAGAGAGGTTTAACCAGACCCCCCCCCCTTAAATGTGGGTAGTACTATCCAGTTGGCCTGGAGATTCAGACTGAACAAAAAGGGAAAAGGGAGAAAGCCAGCCTCACTGGCTCTGCTTCCAGATTGCACAGGACATGTGACCCCTGCCTCACACTTCAGCTGCCATGCCTTCCCTGCCATAACGAACTGTATACCCCCCAAACCACAAACCAAAATAAACTCACCCTTCAGTTCCTTGTATCAGACATTTTGTCATAGCATTGAGAAAAGCAACTAATACACCAACTGTGTGAGCCAGTTGTTTCTTCCTGTGTGGCGGAAATTCACAGTATTCTAAGGAGAGTTGTGCAGCAATGGCAGCCAGATCTTATCAGGAGTAGACAGACCAATAAGTGAGCTGTGGTATGGTATGTTTACAAGACAGGAGACAGCACTGTGTAAATGTACCACATTTTCTCTATCCATTCTTCAGTTGAGGGGCATCTAGATTGCTTCCAGTTTCTGGCTATTACAAATAATGCTGCTATGAACATTGTTGAACAGATGTCCTTGTTGTATGAATGTGCTTCTTTTGGGTATATGCCTAAGAGTGGAATTGCTGGATCTTGTGGTAGACTGATTTCTATTTTCCTGAGGAGTTGCCATACTGATTTCCAAAGTGGCTGTATAAGTTGGCACTCCCACCAGCAGTGGAGGAGTGTTCCCCTTTCTCCACATCCTCTCCAGCATAAATTGTCATTGGTGTTTTTGATTTTAGCCATACTGACAGTACTAAGTTGGTATCTCAGAGTTGCTTTGATTTGCATTTCCTTGATGGCTAAGGATGTTGAACACTTTCTTATGTGCCTTTCAGCCATTTTAGATTCCTCTATTGAGAATTGTCTATTTAGTTCTGTACCCCACCTTTTAATTGGATGTTTGGTATTTTAGAGACTAGCTTCTTGAGTTCTTTGTATATTTTTGAAATCAGCCCTCTGTCAGATGTGGGGTTGGTGAATGTCTTGTCCCATTCTGTGGGCTGCCGTTTTGTCTTGCTGACTGTGTCCTTTGCCTTACAGAAGCTTCTCAGTTTCAGGAGGTCCCATTTATCAATTGTTAATCTCAATGTCTGTGCTACTGGTGTAATGTTCAGGAAGCTGTCTCCTGTACCAATTAATTCAAGGTTATTTCCCACTTTGCCTTCTAATAGGCTGAATTTATGTTGAGGTCTTTGATCCATTTGGACTTAAGTTTTGTGCATGGCAATAGACATGGATCTGTCTGCAGTCTTCTACATGCAAGCATCCAGTTATGCCAGCACCATTTGTTGAAGATGCTTTCTTTATTCCATCGTATAAATTTAGCTTCTTTGTCAAAAATCAGGTGTTCGTAGGTGTGTGGATTAATATCACGGTTTTCAACTGTATTCCATTGGTCTACCTGCCTATTTTTGTGCCAGTACCAAACTGTTTTCAGGACTATAGCTCTGTAATAGAGCTTGAAATTTGCAGGAAAATGGATGGAACTAGAAGAAACCATTCTGAGTAAGGTAACCCAATAACAAAAAGACAAACATGGAATGTACTCACTCATATGTGGATTTTAGACATAGAGTAAAGGATTACCAGCCTACAATCCACACCACCAGAGAAGCTAGTAAACAAGGAGGACCCTAAAAGAGACACATGTGGTCCTCTGGAGAAGAGGAAAGGGACAAGATCTCCTGACCAAATTGGGAGCACAGGAGGAGGGAGCTAGGAGAATGAGAGGGGAGATGAGGAGGGGTGAGGAGGACATGAAGGAGCAAAAAGTTTGAGTCAGGGGAAGAATAGAAGATAACAAGAAAGGAGATACCATAATAGAGGGAGACATTTTAGGTTTACAGAGAAATCAGGCACTAGGGAAAGGTCTGGAGATCTACAAAGATGACATCAGTTAACAATCTAAGCAACAGAGGAGAGGCTACCTTAAATGCCCTCCCCTGATAATGAGACTGATGACTGTCTTATATGCCATCCTGTAGCCTTCGTTCAGCAGCTGGTGGAAGTAGAAGCAGACACCCACAGCTAATCAATGAACTGAACTGGAATCCAGTTGCAGAGAAGAACAAGTAATGAGCAAAGGGGTCCAGACCAGACTGGTAAAACCCACAGAAACAACTGACCTGAACAACGGGAACCTCTTGGTCCTCAGTCTGATAGCTGGGATACCAGCATGGAACTGATCCAGACCCCAGGAATGTGGGTTTCAGTGAGGAGACCTCGAAAATCTATGGGACCTCCTATAGTAGTTTAGTACTTATCCCTAGCATAGGGATGGACTTTGGGAGCCCATTCCACATAGAGGAATACTCCCTGAGCCCAGACACACGGGGGAGGGCCTAAGCCCTATCTCAAAGGATATGATAGCCTCTGATGACCCCCCTATGGAAGGCCTCACTCTCCCTGGGGAGCAGAAAGGATATGTGATAGGTAGGGTTTTAGTTGAGGGGGATGGCAGGGTAGGAGGGGCGGGGGAGGGAACTGGTATTGGCATGTAAAACAATCTTGTTTCTAATTCAAATAAAAAACATCTGAAAAAAAAAAAAACAAGATAGGAGACAGTAGCCTTGAGAGTGAATGATCTATAGCAGTGAACCTTATGAGTTAATCTTGTGCTGGTTAGTTTTTTGTCAACTTGATACAAGCTAGAGTCATCAGGGTAGAGGGAACCCCAATAGGGAAAATGTTTCTACCACATTGGCCTGTAGACAAATCTGTGGGTTTGTTTTATTTTCAGTTGATGACTGATGTGGGAAGACTCTGTCCACTGTAAGTGGTGCCACCCCTGGGCAGGTAGTCCCGGTTTGGCTAAGAAAGCAGGCTGAGCAAGCATGTTTCTCATGGTCTCTGCTTCAGTTCCTGCCTCAAGGTTCCCTCAATGATGGACTTATAACATGGAAGTGTAAGCCAAATAAACCCTTTCCTTCCAAGTTGCTTCTGGTCAGGGTGTTTTGTCATAGCAAAGAAAAGCAAACTAATACATTGAAGTTAGCAGATGCAGATATACAGCAACAGAGTGCCCAGTTAAATTTGAATTTCAGATAAACAATATTTTTATGTCAGTATATTCGAGATGCACACCTACATATTTACACTGTATATATACCACATAATGGCATATATACATGTATTTTTATATATAATCTTTTTGTTTGTTTGAGACAGGGTTTCACTGTATAGCTCTGGCTGTCCTGGAACTCAATATGTAGACCAGTCTGGCCTCAAACTCAGAGATCTACCTGCCTCTGCCAAGCAAGTGCTGGGATTAAATGCATCTGTCACTACACCTAGCTTTTATATATTATCTTGCACCAAAAACTATTCATATTTACATGCACTGACAATACTTCTGAAATCTGAAATTCAAATTTCAATTACTTTCTACACAAACATGTCAGTGAACAGTGCCTGCCATGAGAACTTGTAGGCTACAAATTCTCATTTCTCTAGGTACTGAAGGCAGGCAAAACCATATCTGCCTGTAGATGTAGAGTCAAGGTGGCAGCAACTAGGGAGACTGAAGGCATGGGAGCATGCCTGAGGTCCTAGTTGTTTATTTTGGGGTATAGATACTGTCCATGTAAGTGTGTTTGAGTTTAGAAACTCAGGAAGCCTCCTCACAGTTCTTTTTAAATATATTTTAGTGTATTTGAGAATTTCATACTTGTATACAATGTATTTTGATCACATGCGCCCCCACCTGCTCTTAAACCTTCCCCTGGGTACCCCCCAACACATCCTTTTTTCACTTTCATGTCTTTATTTTAAAACATACCTAATATAATTAGTACTGCCCATATGCTCATAGGTATGGGGCCACCTGCCGGAGCATAGTCAACCTACCAGGACTTTGAAGAAAACTGGCTTTCTGTACCCTAGCAGTCATCAACTGTTAGTATTACTTCAGCCAGGAGTTAGGGTTTGTATACCCCTCCCTCATTCATACTGGAGTGTTGACTGGCTTATGCAGGCAACCCCAGCTGCTAAGAGTTAGTAAGTGCAGCAGTCCTGTCCTGTTCAGAAGATGCCCTTTCACCCCCATCTCCTCCTGGACTTTTTGGCTCTTGCAACCTTTCTTTCCCCCTCCACCTGGATGTTCCCTGAGCATTGAGGGAGCAGGGGGCCATACAGATATCCCAGTTATGGCCGAGCAGTCCACAGACACTTACTCTCTGCACACTGACCAATTGTGAGTCTGTATTAACCGCTGTCCACTGCTCAACTACTGCTTTGATGAGGACTGAGAGCTGCACTAATTTATGAGTACATAGTACATATTTAGTTTACTTCGTTTATCAGAATAATATTAGTAAGTTTGCCCCTAGGGCCTTTGAACTCCTGTCACGAATTCTTGGCTAGCTTTACCGTACTAGGCATATGTTTCCTCCTGTGGAGCAGGACTTAAATCCAATAAAAAAAATGAGTTGTCTCCATAACATCCATGCCACTTGTTACACCCTTGGATATATCATGCCAGTCTGGTTGTTATTATAGCTCACAGAGTTCACAACTGGCTAAGACTTTGAGGACTTTTCTCCCCCACCAGACTGCACAGCACCTTCTGGCACTATAAAAGCTAGCCAACAGAGAGGAGCTCCCTTTTCAGTTCCAACTTGATTTCTCCTTGTCCTGTGACGAAAGTCTGGGTGTCTTCAGCAATGGGGTCTTACCATAAAGTTCTGGTGGGCAAATAAAAGCAATGGCAAGTGCCTGAGTTATTTTGATGGTCTCTTGGATCTTCTTGGCCAACAGCTCAAAGGAATTCTGCACTTGGCACTGGGCTTTTTTTTTTTTTTCCTTACACTTCTGACAAGTACATGGACCTTTCTGCCTGTCCATGGATGTACTGGAATCTTTACTAGGGGACTCAAACTTCAAGTGAATTCTGGATTTCCCCAGTAGAGAGAGCAATATACAGTTGTCCTGTTGGCCCTGCCTTAGGCTCATCCTAGTCACTGTCACAAAACCAGGCTAAACCAGGCTGCATGTTCAAGTCTCAGCTTCACTCTCTCTCTCTCTCTCTCTCTCTCTCTCTCTCTCTCTCTCTCTCTCTCTCTCTTAGTTTATCTTTTACATTCCAATCCCAGTTCCTTTTCCCTTCTTTTCCTCCTATTTCCCCCTCCTCCCATCTGTACCATAGAGAGGGTAAGGCCTCCTCTAGGAAGTCTACTAGGACTAACCCATCATCTCGTTGAGGCAGGACCAAGGCACCTTTCTACCCCCACACCCCTGTGTCTAGGCTGGGCAAGGTATCTCTCCATATAGAATGGGCTCCACTAAGTCAGTTTGTGCATTAGGGTTAGATCTTGGACCCACTGCCAGTGGTCTCATATATTGACTATATATGAGGGAGTCTAGTTTGGTCTTATGCAGGTTCCCCATTTGTCAGACCCAGAGTTCCTTTGTTGAGGAAACCATTCCAAACTCAGACAGGTGCCCTGCTCCTCTCTACTTGGATTGTATTCCCTTTCTAGCAGTTGTCATTACTGTAGAATGTACATTGTTGTACAAATGCATATATCTGCCTCACCTACCTGGAAGAGAACCCTAGAAAGGCTAGGCCATGCATGACTTTTCCCTGCAATGGTTATTGGTGTCCAGAACCTGACAGGCATATGGCTGATTCTTAGTAATATTTAGTTGTTTTTTTAAAAGGTGAAAGTTCCTAGGTAAACAAATATATGAGTTGATATTATTCTTTAAAGCAGAGGTTCTCAACCTGTGGGTAGTGACCCCTTTGAGGGTCTCATATGAGATATCCTGCACATAATTCATAACAGTAGCAAAATTTAAGTTATGAAGTAGCAATGAGATAATTTTATGGTTGAGGTCACCACAACCATAACTGTAACTGTATCCAAGGGTTACAGCATTAGGAAGGTTGAGAACACCTGCTCTAAAGTTTTTATTGGTGCTGGAGAGATTGCTCTTCATAGTTAGGAGCATTGGCTACTCTTCCACAGAACCAAGGTTTGATTCCCAGCATCCACATGGTGGCTCACAACCATTTGTAACTCCATTTCCAAGGGATTTGATTCCCTCTCTGGCTCCCATGGGAACCAGGTACACATAGTGCACATATATACATGCAGGCAAAACACCCATACACATAAAATAAGAATATTTTAAAAGCTTTTATTAATATAGTCACAATGTTCCTATGATCAGGGTCTTATGCATGGTAGACAGATGCTCACCACTGAACTATATTCCTGACTAACTGGGGCTTTAACATTTCCAGTAAGAGGTTCCAGAATCTCATTTTTAAATATAGTTTACAAATATAATTATAGCTACTTATACTTCCACCCCTGTGACGTAGAAGAGAGCTTCCTTTTGAAGTGGAGGGCACAGTGAGTGCCAAGTACAAGTGCTTGCTGCCTGAGCGCTCAGTATGGGTGTCAGCTTCGGGGGAGCCTCTGCTCTTAGCAGGCTACTGTGACATTTGAGGCCCTCAGCCTGGTTTCTGTCTTGACCCTGTAGGGATCTGCTGCAGGCGCTGACTGAGGAGGAGCTGCACACACTGGAACGGAGCCTCTGCGTTTCTCAGGATGTGGAGCTCCCCATCCGGGCAGACACCCAGGCACCCAGTGCCCTAGCACCTACCTTTTCTACATCCCTTCCCCCTGAGGAGCCACTCTCAGCCAGTGCCAGCAACTCAGAGGCAGAACTGGCCTGCTCAATGCAGTATGATGATCAGGAGTTGGAGGAGCTCAGCCGCATGGTCCACAGGGCTGGGGACGAGATGTCATCTCTGCTTTCACCGCCCAGTGCCTGCCAGTCCCCAGCACATAGGCCAGGCACAGAGGCCAGCCCCCGAGGGGAAGCCTCTCCAGCCAGAGCCCGACTGAAATCAGGTAGTGATGAGGAGGAAAGGGTATTCTTCATGGATGATGTGGAGGTGGCAGAGTCTCCTGCCAGGTCAGAATCCCCAGGGGATACATTTGAGTTGACAGGCAGCATGCAGAGCAATGTTCAGCAGAGAGGGCAGGATAGCCAGAGTGGAGAGGTGGGAGTCGGTGCACCATCCCTGGTAAAGGAGGAAGACTGGAGCAACAACAACATTGAGGACGACAAGATAAAGCTGGCCAGTCTTGTGGGCTCCACTTCCTGCAGCTGCCTGGACTCACAGCTATACCTGGACGGCTGGGAGGTGAACACAGATGATGCTGAGACAGCTGAGATGATTGCACACCGGACCGGGGGCATGAAACTTTCAGCCACAGTCATCTTCAATCCCAAGTCTCACGCCTCCCTGGACTCTGCTGTGGCAACCCAAGAAGCCACAGACCGTGGTATTTCCCCGTTGGAGCCCAGGGCAGAGGGGACAGGGGACAATTCACACAAACTTGGCACTGCAGCCACCAACTGCCTCCTCCACTCCTGTGTGTGCTGTGGGAGCTGTGGGGACAGCAGGGAGGATGCGGTGGAGCACCTACAGGAGAAGTGTGGTCCAGGAAGCATCATCAGTGCCTCTAACCCTTCTGTAAGCTTAGCCAAGGCTGGTGACAAGGAACCCGAGAGACTAGATGAGGCCTGGTCTTCTCCTGATGTCACTCTGCCTGCAGAAGATGCCTCCAGTGGACAGGAACCCAAAGCTCCTGCTCCCAACAAGTGCCTGGCACATACCTCAGGGCCTCAAGTGGATACAGCAAGCAGGCTGCAAGGAGAGGGTGAGGTCAAAAGACAGCCAGAGCTAGAGACCAGGAATCAGGACCCTGAGAAGTCCTCTGTGGTCAGGGGAGATAGTCCAAGAGAAGACATGGCCCAGACAGAACCCCAGCACCTGTCAGGTTCCAGGTAAGGGCTAATTCTGTTCAAGGGACCAGACTTATTCTCTTCTTGCAATCAGGACATGTCCTGGCTGATTCTCAAAGTGCTGAGATGCTCCCTCGTCAAGTTTTTTGGCCATCAAACAGGTTCTGGATCCAGGGCAGGTATATGGTTGATGTCTGAAAGGATGAGGTATGGACTACCCCTGGAGATACCCATCCTACAGTAAGTTAAGCTGCCTACCAATGATCTTCAGAGGCATTTTTCAGGTAATGTTGGCACAGGCACCCTTTCATCTTGGTAGCTCATTCCAACCCTGGTGTCGTCCATGGTTAGACTACAGTAGTAAATGGGTGTAGGTGGTAACTAAGCACATAGACCACTGATCTTTGCTCACTACCATACCTGCTGAGCCCACACAGTGAAAAGAGGTTCACAGAAACCATGACTGTGTACAGAACCATGCTGAACTCTTGAGTACCCTTGGGCAAATTCTTGGGCAGTATTCCCATGACCCCTGTCCTTCCTCAACATTGTGTTCTCCATGCTCCCTGTGGCTCATCCCTCCCTGTTGTTGTCTGGTGATTCAGAGTGGGGTGGAACTTTGGGTTTCTAGAGTAGATGTGTTCCTTTAGAGCTGAGGCTTCTTCCTCTCTTTGCCTTGATACGAGATGATTCGTAGCCTGTAAGGTTAAGATATCTTTATTTAGACAAACACCAGCCAAACTCAAGCCAGAGTGTGCCAGGGGCAGCAAGGCAGGGAGGCCAGAGAGAAGGGGCTCCCATGAGCCTTGCAGACCCTTAAAACCCTATCATGTGTCATCCTGACCTCACCTTGACCACGCCCTGACAGGTGTGGTCAGGCACACCTGTAGCTAGCTTCTAGCAGGCGTGGCTTACACTGTCCCCTACACTGCCTCTCACCCAAGTGTTCTGTCCATAGCAGACTTTGACAGGCAATGCTGATGTTGACTGTATGATCTGCTATGTCTTTAATGTTGGGGGTAGGAGGAGGGGCAAAGAAGCCAGGCTAGACTGAGTGGGTCATACATTGTCATGATGTCCCCAGAACCCTACTTTATGGAGATCTATCTGGACAAGGGAGGGAGGGCAAGGGAGGAAGGATCTCCACCTAGAGGTCCTGGAATCCAACACAGATGGGTGTGTACAGGTTGGGACAAAGCAAAGGACAAGGTAGGGTGCAAGTAGAAGGAGGGTATTCTCACACCAGGGGGCAGAAGCTCCTGGGAATGGACAGAAGCTCCTTCCTATCCCTCATCCCTTCCTGGGCAGCAAATGGTCACCACCTTCCCTGGAAGCATGTGGGAAAGCTGGTCAGGGTCTTATGTCTGTCATAAATTCAAAGGCTCCCCACTCACCATATAGTTCTTTGCTCTGCTACTGGTTGTGGTGCTGGACTGTAACTGTGGCCAGAGAAGCCACTGTGACAGAAGGTCCTAACCCGCCAACTTCCTAGCCACTGGCAACCTCTGATCTGCCACCTATGATTGGCACCTATGATCTTCTGACTGTGAACATGGAGCATAAGTCATGCAGTGCAGGCCCTTCCATGTCCCTCATCTTTTCATGAGCAGTGTTTTGAAGGGCCATCCACACAGCAGCTTGGGTGGCACTTCACTACAGCTGTGTCACCCTCACTGTGAATAGTGGCCATGCTATGTCTCTCCCTTCACAGTTGATGGATGTGTAGGGTGTTTCTTGGCTGTCAAGAATAATGCTGCTGTGAAATTCTTTTTCTGTTTTGTGTGAACATGTGTTTTCATTATTTTGGGTTTCCAAGAGTAGAACATGCAGGTTATATGGCAACTAGCTGTTTTCCACATGCCTGAGGTTACATACATCCTACAAGTTTTTATATGAGGGGGTTCAACTTTTTTATATTGACTATGATTTTAAGTAATTTTCTATCCTTATGGCATAATCCATTAATATGCAGTTAGTCAATTGCCTTGTCAAGCACACACCTGTACTTTCAGCCCTTTGTAGGCTGGGGCAGGAGAATGGCAAATTTGAAGCCAGCTTGGGCTACAGAACAAGAACTTGTCTCAAAACTAAACCAAGCAAACAAGAACTAAAGTTAGTTCAAATTGTTTCTGTTGGTACAGTTGTTTAAGTTTGTATTAGATTTATAGAAGCTACCACTTATATTTAACTCAGTTTTATAATTACATAGAATATTTGCATGCTTTTTAGACAAATCTAAACAAATCAGATGTAAAGAAGCCTGTCTAGAGGGACTTTACTCTCTTCTGTGTCTAAAGGGAATAGTTGTTAAAGTTTCATGGCCCAGAGGTGGACTTCAGGGTGCACACTCCTGATGCTAGACAGATGACTCTGAGCTCCAAATCCTCTTCTCCAACTTGCTTCCTGACCTCTAGCCCAAGACCTTACCAGAACTTTCTGGAGATATCCCCCCTTTCCTTTACCGAAAAGCAGAGCCCAGACAAGGTTGGGCCGGAGTGCACTCAGTCAGGCCCTGCTGTCTGCAGGGCTACACCCACACTCGGGCTGTTGTAGATGGTGCCACTGTGGACAGCTGCTGCAGATGTCTCTCCTGTTCCATAAAGCCTTTTCTCGGAGGCAGCCCCAGCATCGTAGCCATGTCAAGTGGAATGAATTAACTTCCCAATGGCTGCCAATGGCTACCTTGAGGCCTCTGGCTCAGTTTATTGGTGAGTGAATTATTTTTCTACAAGGCTGATGCAAAAATCCTAAAAATTCCTAGATAGGAGACGTATGTGTTTTTCTTTAATTTTGACTTGCTCTTTTTCCTGTTTGTCCAGGTAACAGCCAGAAAACCATCTAGAAGCTTCTCCCAGTTTGGGAAGGGCCCTTCACAACATGCCTCTGCATTTAGACTCAGTCCAGCTCAGCATACACTGAAAACTCAGCTATGAAAAGGTGAGAAAAGCCACCTGGTGGCTCAGAAGACCTCCCACCTTCCAGGAAGCCTGTTTAGAAGATAAAAAGGGTCTGAAGAGCAAACAATGGGCAGGAGGCCAGGACCTCAGACAGCCATATGTTGGCTCAGCACCATGCTTTAGGGAGCTGGAAGAGGTCAGCCTACAGCTACATGTCTGTCACTCCTGTTCCAGCACTGGCAGAACCAGCATGGGAGCACCGGTCATGTGTTCTGTGTCATGAACACATTTGTCAGGGGCCAAGCCAGGTGCCGGAACCCACCAAGGAACCAGATGGATGTGACAGGTCCTCCAGGCCTACAAGGAGATGATGATACAGCAGTGTGTTTTCAAGCAGAGACAAGAGGCCAGCCACACACAGGCAGAACATTTGCTGAAATGCAGAGTGAGACATCAGGAGGTCTGGCTAGTGAGACAATATCATGACAAAGCTTTCTCATGATACATGGTCTCATTCACAGGCGTGGTCTATTAGGGTTCTCTAAAGGAACAGTACTGAGAGAATATATATATATATATATGTGTGTGTGTGTGTGTGTGTGTGTGTGTGTGTGTGTGTGTGTGTGGTGTGTGTGTGTGTGTGTATAATATATATATGGATTTATTAAATTGGCTTATAGGGTGCAGTCTGGGTACTCCGGGAACAGCTGTCTCATGCTGGTAAGGCTGAGAACCTGATAGTTGTTCAGTCCCTAGGCAGGATGTCTCAGCTCTAGCAGTTTGGGGGTGTAGTCCTGGAGGATTCCTGGGGAACTGCTGATCTTCAGCTCATGTTGCAATCCTGAAGAAGCTGGTTCTAACACAGTTGAAGGAATGCCTCAGCAACAGGATAGATGACCAGCGAGAGTGAGGACAAGCAGGCTGAAAGCAAGGTTTTTTCTTCTCTGCTCTTCTATGTGGGCTGCAACCAGGTATTTCCCACATTTAGCATGGGTCTTCCTGCTTCAAATAACCTAAGAAAATCCCTCACAGGAGTGCTCAGCATCTTAGGTTTCAGTTGCATTCCATATGCAGTCAAGTTGACACTCAAGATTATCCATCACAAGTGGGTCGTGAGTCTCCTCTAATTCTGCATCTGGGAGACAAACTCCAATGCTGATGTCTGCCTCTCCCTGGTGTCCCTCAAAGGAACAGATACCTTCACTCTCTGCAAGCAGCAGGATCTGTTTCACTGCTATTATGATTTGATCATGGGATTCACCCATCATCTGGCAGGCGCCTCTGTTCCTCCTGTGGTATGTGACATGGAAAGTATCATGAATTTGGTAGGTCCTGTGGTAACAGGCTTCTATCTCATGTGTGAGCCTTACCATGTATGAGCTACAAATGGCAGAACAGTAGGGAGTTGTGGCAAGAGACCTGCCTTCAGGGCTGGAGTCCCCCATTTCCCTGGAGTGTGTGTGGTTAGTCAGCTAGAAAATGGCCACTTCAGGGAAGGAGGGTTGCTGTTGTCAGGGGAGCAACACATGCTGGAAGCAGATGGACCTAAGGCTGAGAGTGTGGGCCCTACTGAGAAGCCCCTTCCCAGGTGGTCTTCTGGTCCTGGTTGATTCCACCAGCACCAGCACCCAGGGTGGCAGGACATTGTCGTTGGTCAGGACAGATGCACTGACCCTGCTGAATGAATGTTCTGGAACCTGTATTGTTTAGTTCTTTGCTTTCTGCTGGCTTCTTGCCTATCTGTTCAGTGGTCAGAGATGAACCTTTTGGAGGAAAGTTGACTTTATTTATTTATTTTGGTTTTGTTTGTTTGTTTTGGTTGGTTGGTTTTTGAGGTAGGGTTTCTCTATGTAGATCAGGCTGGTCTCGAACTCACAGAGATTCATCCGCCTCTGCCTCCCAAGTGCTGGGATTAAAGGTATACACCATCACTGCCCTGCAAAAGTTGACATTTTTAAAAAGCTGGTTTTCTCCCACCTAGCCTTAGCTTCCTGACTCAAATTGTTCTTTGGTGTCAACTCCATTGTCAGAAGATGAAAACCACTCAAGTCCGTCTCCCAACCTGGACATTGCAGAAGTGTTTGCTGTACAAATTATACAAATCCCTCTTTTTTTTGCTTCTAATTGTAAGTGTGGTCTCTGTTCATTGTAAAAACTTTAGAAAACATTAAAAAGACTAAAAGAAGTAAATAAAAACTTTCCACACTTATGAATAGTTTTGATTATTTTTCTACTAAAAACATGTGAGCATTTCTCCACAGAATTCTTTTAAAACAACTCTATGGGCTGGATAGATGGCTTAGTGATTAAGAGCACTGGCTGCTTTTCCAAAGGACCTGGGTGCAATTCACATGGCAGCTCATAGCTGTCTGGAACTCCAGTTCCAGGGGCTCTAATGCCCTCTTCTGGTATCATCTATGGGCAGCAGACAAATATGTAGTACATAAACACACATGCAGGAAAAGCACCCATTCACACAAAGTTAAAAATTAAAAAAAAAAAAAACTCCACAACTTTAATTGAAATGGTATTGTGTCACAGGACATAGTCTAGTTACTCTGTATTTTCAGTTTCTATGTTAAGTTAACCTTGTGCAGTTTCCTTTTTTTTTTCTTTAGAATTTATCCCAGGGTCTAGAATCAGCACCACAAAGACCAAAGTCTTTCCAGAGAAGTGTTGACTTAATGTACACAATGTACATCATCTAAGGTGTACCCCTCCTTCCAACACAGAAACCCACATCTTGCTAACCTGGGAGGCAAAACCTGGCCCCTGCTGGCTGTGTGCTCTTTTTTGGTGCCTAAGAATTTCCCTGGTTTTTCCTTTGCCTCAATGCACAGCTGGTGTTCTGGTTTCCTCACTGCCACACAGCATCCCTCTTTCAGGTGTGTCATAGCAGATACTTTTTTCTGATTTCTGACCGACCATTTGTTCTCTGTGTTGATGCCTCTGGATTTACAGATGTCTTTAGTTCTATTTTGTATAGCTAAGTTTACAAAAATTCTGGAGAAGCTTTTGTTTCCCTGCTTCCCTTTGATCTGGTCTGTTGTGCATGTTGTGTGCTGTGTTGGTCCTTGTCTCCTGGTCACCATGGTTTTTCTTTCTCTCCATCAGCCCCACAACAGGGATACATAGTGTGAGGCGAGGCTTGGTACTATGTCCAGGGATTTGGGCCACCTAGCCTTTTTCTTCTTTGGTTGTAGTTCTGAAATAGGGTCTTGTCATATAGCTTTACAGTCTTGCTTGAGCCTCCAGAGTGCCGGGTCTATAGACATCGGCCATCACACTTGACTCCATCCAGCCTTTGAAAGTATCAGCCTGCAACTACCAGACTGATGGCCATCCTAACTGATATCTGGCTTTGGCTCAAGAACTCTTGGGACTGGTCACCATCTGTGTCCCTCCTGCAGAAGTCCAGCCTGCTCTGTGTTTTTCCGTTCTGTGGTTACATCCTTGTTGGGGAATGATAGGGACCTCCCAGAGATACCCAGTGCACAGGCCATGTGTTCTGACTGCTTCTTTATCCTGCAGCCTTGAGGTAGCAGACAGCTGACATGGGGGAGATTCTCTTATAGATGAACTGTTGAGCCCTCCTTCCCCCCACAAAGTATCAAACATAGCAGGATGGGCAGGCTCAGGGTTGGAAAGGTGGTGCATGGGCTTCATGACCTAAGCTTGTTTTGTCATCTGCAAGGTAAGCAAATGCTTCTTGGTAAGGAAGAAGCATCATATCACAAGGACTTGCCACACTCTCTTACCTTCTCTTCTCCCTTCTGATTGCCCCTCCTGCAGCATTCACCATTCCTATCCTTTGTCACCACTGGTACCCACAATGGTTATTCTTACTCTGGTCACTCCTCACCATGTTTGCTGTTTTCCAACCTGGCTTTGTGCTCTATGTCACAGCTCTAGATTTTGCTGTCTCCAGAACCCATGTCTGCTGTGTTCCACTCTTGAGGGGCAGTGGCCAACAGCAGGTAGAGGTTGTGCATCAAGCTTAAGCTTTCAGTTCAACCTGTCCTTTCCTAATCTGTGTCTTGCCTCAGATGGGTACCTGTCTGTCTCGTGGCTGTGGTCTGCAGCCTATGCTATGTAGACAGAAGCTTCAGCTCCCCAGCACCTCTTTTTCCACAGAGAGGTAGCAGATTAAAGTCTACCTGTTACTTCAGGCCATGCCATAAAAAGTCTCATGACCTTCAGCCTGCTTCTGGTGCCCAGCCTGGGGAGAGCAAATGGGCACATCAGTAAAACAGTAGTGTGTCCCTAGCTGGCTCTGATCATGCATAGAATCACACCCAGCTAGACAGATAACAGGGCCAGACTGCCTGATGCCCTGATCCAACCCTAGTGTCTTATCCAAGTGTCACTGCTGTCTTCTGACTTCAGTGACTTGAGAAGGCATGCTTTCCCTTCTATTGCAGAAAACAGCTTCAGCATTGAGTGCCCCAGGGTGTCTGAGACATCCAAGGGGCATCAATCCTTCACTGTACTTTAGAGAGAAGGGGTGGCAAGTCAAGAGTCAGTAGCTGTAAAGGCAGTACTGCTTGGCACAAACCTCACCTGGCCCCAATGTTGTGCTTTCCTGAGGTTTCTGAAGACAAGAACCTTCTATAGGGGGAAGGGCTCAGCAGAGGACTAGCACTGGGGTGGGGCTGACAGGGAGACTTGATCTGGCAGTCCAGCTTTGCTGTGGTGGCTATGGAGCCTGGGACCACAGATCTTGGAGCTCTTGCCCTCTCTGCCAGGTTGTGCACACAAAGTGCTATTTCTATGGGAACCATCCAGAGCCAGGCTCTGGGTGTTGTCCTGGACACAGCAGCCAAAATTCTGAGTCAGGTATATATGAGATCCCATATCTGCAAGGATCACAAAGGCTCCATCCACTGTACCCTATAGAAGGAAAACAGGAATGACTTGAGATGAGGCATAATGATGCCATCAAGCCAGCTGTTCATAAGTGATGCTTTGGGGGCTGACACAGGGCAAGATTAGGACTAGAGTATAGCTGATTTACTATAGTCTGGCTGGGTGGGGGCTGAGTTCTCCCATGAATCCTATCTTAGCACTAGCCACATGACTTCCTGTGTTGAAGGAATCCCTGGAAAAGGCAGTGACAATCCTTCAGCATCCTGAGTATAGCACCTGTATATAGCAGGCTTTCAGGTAAGGAGGTCCAATGAGGCTTGCTGTCCTTCTAGGTGATGGACCTCCTGCTGGTGTAAACAGGCCTGGCCAAAGGAATGGTGGTGACCACAGGGTCCCCTGTGCAGTCCTTTCAGCCTGCCCCTCAGCCCTGACTCCAGCTTCTCTCTCTAACCTGGTCACTTGACAACTCCCAGATCTCATGATCACACCCTGCTCCTTATGCTGAATCCTCCAGCAGGTGCCCAGAAGAAATCAGCGCGCTTCTAAGATGGAGACTTGCTGGCCAGGGCCACACCTCAGTTCCTTTCCTCATCTCTGCATGTGTTCTCTGGCTAAACCAGAGGGCTTGCTTCTCCATCCTTCTGTGTTCTGCCTCTGGTCACTGTTTGCTTCCTTGGGTCACACAGCCCTTGCCCCTGTGCTATGACATCTCTTGATTCTTTATCATGTCCATTCTCTTGACGTTGCGACGTGACACTGTCATCTACGGAGTTCATACCCAAGAACTATAGTTGGGCCAAGTGTGGTGGTACACACCTTTAATCCCACTATTTGGGAGGCAGGCAGGCAGGCAGATTTCTGAGTTTGAGGGCAGCCTGGTCTACATGGTGCATTCTAGGCTAGCCATAGTAAGATCTACATAGTAAGATAAGTATAGGCTAGCCATAAGTATAGCCATAAGTATAGGCTAGCCATAGTAAGATCTACATAGTAAGATCCTGTATTTAAATTATATAATCAGTGATGGTGCACACCTTTAATCCTAGCACTTGGGAGGCAGAGGCAGGTGGATCTCTGAGTTCAAGCCCAACCTAGTCTACAGAGTGAGTTCCAGGACAGCTGGAGCTACACAGAGAAACCCTGTCTTGAAAAATTAAAACAAAAAAAAAGCCTCATAATGTTTAAATAAGCTTACATTTCTGGGCTGCAGATTGGACACACCTTATACTGTGCCATCAGCACAGTTGCAATTACTGCCTTTGTTGAGCCAATGGGGCACTTCTCATAGGGTAACCTGTGGCTGCCTTCAAGCAGGGATTCCTATGGTTACTCCTGCTGGCCTATGGCTGCAGTAGTCTGCCCTAACTGATTCCAACTGCTAGGCCACCTGCTAGAGCCATCCACAGTGTCTCATGTGGCATGGTGCTGCATCTCCTGGGAGTCTGGATGGGACTTAGAGTCCTCATTTAGGGAAATCTGCTCAAGGCCAAGTGGAATTTAGAAACACCATGGCCTAGAAGGCACTGGACCTTCAGGGTGACCCCAGGCCTAGTAGTGTTAGGACTTGAAGTTTCATTGCTGATATTTCTACTTCCTCCATTCTTTCCCTTGATTCTTCCCTGCTGTATTCTACCCAGCTTTCTGCCTTCCTTGGTTCCCTGCAGTCTATCTTCAGGTGCTGTGGCATTCAAAGCCTACACAGAGAAGCACAAATGAAGACCACCTCTTTGCAGTGTTCCGTGTTCAATTTGTGGGATGAATACAGCAGTAAACACTCTTTGCAGAACACTTTCCTAGATGTATAAACATTGATTACAAGCTTCGACTCCCCTAAATGACTTAAGCTATAATTATATGTTAGGTATGACTGTTTCCTTTGACTGCTTCAAACACTGTAAACGTGCTGTGTTGTGTGGACAGCTTCTCACTGCATGGATGTCCCCTCCCTACAAACCATCCTGGCTATTATTGCCCTGAGGCAGCTGTACTGAAATCTCACTGCCTGCATCTTCTTTGTCTGGTCATCATGACATTTTACTGCCATTCTGTGGGTAAAGGGTCTCATCTCTATCTAGACCAAGTAACTCATGGGGGTTGTCCAGAAGGTGTGAGATGGTTTCAGGAGGGGATCACAATTCCATGTCTAGATTAGTGTAAAAGCTGCTTTAACAAAGCACCAGCCAACAAGGACACCTAAAGCCAGACTTCTACTCTCAAGTTTTAGAGGCTGGAGGTCTGTCATAGTGCACTCCAGCTGAAGGTTCTGAGCCTTCCTGCCTCCAGCTCCTAAGGCTCCTGGCATTTCATGGCTTGTGAGTAATCTTTTCTGTCCCTCATAAGGACACTTAGATGAAGAGTTGTCTCATCTTGAGATCCTTTTACTGAAGAATCTAAAAAGCATCTTTTCCCCAACAAGCTCACAGCCCAACTTTCTGGGGTGTGATGTGGGTGTGTCAGACTTTGGGGGTATATGGCACTCACCATGGCATCCAAATCTTGGGCTTTTGACCTTTCTACTTTCCCACTCCTCCCCAGAGAAGTCCCCATGGATATGTCTTCACAATGCTGTCAGAGAAGACATCAGCACGAGTGCCTGGCTAGAGGTAGGAGGCTGCTGCAAGCCCTGCAGGCTATTCTGCTTTCTTAATCCATATAGCATCTGGTCACTACAAAGTGATTCTCCCCTCAGAAAGGAGAGCCTACGTGTATAAGGGCTCCTTTGTCTGTTCCACAGACATGGAGGCCAGTGTGTGTGTTGGGGGTCCTTTGGTGTAGGTCCAGAGCAAGAAGGAAGACTGTTAGAGGTTTTGCATGTTCACTAAATGTACTGTCTGAGAGATGATTCCACAAGCAGTAATCAGTCAGCATTGGGGCAGGAAGAGATTTGTGTTGTGAAGTCTATTTGTGACCTGGCCAGGGGTGGTTTCCCCCATAGCACAATGTGGTGATTTGAAAGAAAACCAAAGAGAGTGACACTATTAGGAGGTGTGGCCTTGGAGGAAGGGTGTCACTGTGTGGGAGGACTTTGAGGTCTCTTTTGCTCAAGATTCCCTCGGTGTAATGGGCAGTCAATTTCCTGCTGCTTTCTGGTCAATATGTCTGCCTGCATGCCACCTTGTCATGGTGATGGATGGGATTGGAGGGGGATGGATTATGGTACCTGGGAGCCAAAGAATACTGAGTGTATGCCCAGCTGTCCTCTGCCAGCCTGGGTGACGAGTGAGAACTTGGGTGGAGTGAAGCAGAGCAGGGCTCTAACACTTCGGCCTTGGCAAAGCAAAGTTCTTACACTCCACTGGAGCTGAACTGTAACAACTTCGCCTGGGAAACCCTCCTCCTGCCAGAGCAGAGCTGATACACTGGTGAAGCCTTTCCCTGAAGCAGGGCTGTAAGCTGCTATGCTTACTGTGACCTCTGGTATTCCTTGGCTCCCGAGTGCCAGAATACCTTTCCATCCGAGCTGTGAGTGCCATAATCCATCCCCGTCCAATCCCATCCAAGCCATCGAAATGCTTACAGTGATAACATACTGAACCTCTGAAACTGTAAGTGAACTGCACCAATTAAATGTTTTCTTCTTAAGAGTTCCTGTGGTCATGGTGTCTCTTTACAGCAATAAAAAACCTAAGACAGACACTGGAACAGATTCTGAAGGAACTTGAAACTCCTAAAGGAATTCAGGAAAAGAACATGGTGAACTCAGGGACAATGTGGAAAGTCATTATGGCCACACCATACCTGCCTTCTCTGTAATAGCACAGGGAAAGGCTGAGAGGAGTGAGCAAGGGGAGAAAGGTTGAAGGGACAGGAGAGAGGGATTTGAATAGAGAAGATAACTTCTGACTTTTGTATGCAAAGTTTCTCTGCCCCAGACCTGTGGGAGTCTTGTTAGGAGCTTCAGGGTTTGGGGGCAGCCTATGCCAGGTACAGCCTTGGATACTGGGTTCCTCTGAGTCATGGGACACTCCTTCTGAGACAGGACACTCCTCCATGAATAAATATCTTGGGGTTTTTGTATCAAAGAATGACAAACAGTCTTGAAGGCAGGAAGTCAACATCAGGGAGTCTCAGAGCTGGTTCTATCAGGGGCTGTGAAGAAAACTGTCCCAGG